ATCACCATCAAAATACACACCTGATGCCCACACTGCACACTTCCAATGAGTCCATACATCTATACACATAGAAACAAATAATTTATAATTAGATAATCATACATGCATGTATATGTGCATTACACTGTACCTTCTGTTCTGTTGTTAACATTGTTTAAAGGTCCATACAGATAACTGAGCTCACTAGCATTATTACCAAGATTACAGAGGGCACAGGACCAGTCTACTATATTAGGAGGCCTCACCTCATCAGATACAACACCTCTTCTCTTCTTTGGCCTCCTCTCATCTGAAGACTGTGACTCTCCATTAAAACTTTCAATGTTCCTCTTAGCCCTCCCTCCTCTCCCACTGGCTCCAGTAGTACCAGTATCTTTATTAACAGGACCTCCTCCTGATACTTTACTGGTATTACCAAACTGACGGGATAACCCACGTCCTGTAATATGAGAAGGACCACTAGCAGAACCATTGAGTGATGATCTTTTAAGAATATGTGCTCTTGATCTTGTCACTTGGTCTTTAGTGACTGATACTGATACAGGACAGGAGTGGGAAGGAGTGGGTGAGTTTTGATGCGAAGATAACTGAGAGTGAGGAATAGAGGAGGAGCTGGATGGGGAGCCAGAGGGAGAAGCTAGTAATGATAAAAGGACAGGAGAGGATGGTGATCTGGTTTGAGGAGATGATGAGGAGCCCTGTTGCTGCACTAGTGGAGAAGAAGATGGACACAAAACTGAAGAGGAGGAGTGTCTTTGAATACAAACTGATTTCACTTTAGATGATCTAGTTATTGGCAATGATAGGCGAGTGGGTTTAGCAGGAGGAGTATGAGACAATAAAGTGGAAAGAGACATAGGAGATTGAGTTCCAGTGTTCCCTTTGTCTACAAATGAGGGAATGTTTTTTAATTTTTCAACACAGAGCCTTGGAACTGAGGAATGGAGTTTAGTGAGTGGCTTCTTCATCAATGGGAGTCTAATGTAGCACTGCTTACCATGAAAGAGTCTAGGAGAAGGAGGAGCACTGACACTGGATGAAATACTGGCTGGAATATTAGGGGAAGCACTGGTAGAGACACTGCTTTGAATATTGGGGGAAGCACTGGATGAAATATTGGTTGGAATATTGGGGGGAAAACTGGACAAAATACAGGTTGGAATGTTGGATGAAACGCTGGTAGAGGCACTGGGTAAAGCAGAATTTATTGATGGGCTAACACTGGTTAGAGCACTAGCTGCAGGACTGGTTGAATTAGAGTTAGTAATAATGATAGGAGGACTGGTTGAAGAGATAGGAGCTGTATTAGAAGTATTGGTCAATGAATCAGAAGTGCTGGTGCTAGCATTGGTGGTCTCTTCCATTGAGCTTGTTAATCTTCTCTTTATCTTTGACCTGGTAACAATACCAGTGGAATTATGCTCTCTCTTTCTCTTCCTCTTCACTTTGTTACGCGAGAGCGGCTTAAGCTGCTCAACAGCATTCACTGACTTATTTGAAAAAGGTGAGGAATTAGAAATGGCAGATGGACTGGAGGGAGGGGTGGGACGGACACTAGCACGTATGAGGCAAATCATGGGAGACTTGGAGAATGTTTTCTTGTTGTTTGAGATCACTGGAGATGAGTTAATAGCAACAGAAGGAGAGAGAGATGAGGCTCCTGAAGGAGAACAATATCTGTCCATAGGTTGAGGAGAGGGTGAAGAATGGAACTGGGGATCTGGTGTACATGTAGCTCCTATTAAAAATAAAATAATAATGGAATCACTTTTCTTTATAAAATTAATTTCTAAGAAATCAATTTTTGATCAGACTCAGCTCAAAATTTTTAAACAGCAAAAACATGCCATGCATCTTAAGAATGCTTTTGAAACATTGGTTCTTTTTTTTAATGCTCATATCTCAAAAATTTATTGGTGGAATCAGTTCAAACTTTCTACACAGCATAGGGACATCAATGTCTATCAGAAACTGTAATAAAAATTTGAAGTGATTTCGGAGCCATTTTTCAAAAAACCATGGGCTATAGCCTTGGGTATTTTTCAAAAATGGGCTCGTTTTTAAAATGCTCATAACTCGGAAATTTTTCAGCGGAATCAGTTCAAACTTTCTACACAGCATAAGGACATCAATGTCTATCAGAAAATGTAATAAAAACTTGGGGTGATTTCGGAGCCATTTTTTCAAAAAAACCATGGGCTATAGCCTTGGGTATTTTTTAAAAATTGGCTGATTTTTAAAATGGCCATAACTCGAAAAAAATTTGTCGGAATCAGCTCAAACTTTCTACATAGCATAAGAACATCAATGTGTATCAGAAAATGTGATAAAAATTTGGGGTGATTTTGGAGCCATTTTTT